GACCTATCTAGCTTAATGATCAAAGTGGAAACAAAGCACAAGACAAGATACTTCCTGAAAATGATCATTGACTTCAAAACTTCACTATGTATTTACAATTAGGACAAGAACAAATAAAGTAAGCTAAAATGAATCAATCACGTGAACAAAGGAGCATCATCACACATCTTCTAATGATGTAAATCCTTCCTTTTTGTTCTTTGAGATATTTCCCAAGTCTTCTACTTTGTGATTTCTTCTCTTTTCTCTTCAAGTTCATGATGCTTTCCATATCCGTTTGCTTTCCTTGAGATATGGGATGATACAACAATGACTTAGTCGCAAATGCTAAAATAATGGTAAGATTATTTCCAAGATTATCTAGAAGATTTAGATAGAGATAGAGAGTGTGTGATTTTGTAAAGAGATGAGAGCTTTGGAAGACAAATGATCTTGATGGGGAAGATACTTGTTCGAATGAGTATTTATAGGGAGAAGTTATCGTCTGCATTGTACATTTTTATAAAATATCCATTAGAGTAAAGTATTATATTGATATTTAATGGATGCATCATGTAAATAATAATGTTCGAGCAAATTATTATCATTTTTGTGGTTGAAATCACGTCACCAAACTTTACATAACAATGTGAAAATCCACCAACCAAGACACATTGGTCGGCCATTTGGTTGCATTCCTTATTCTTTTATGCACTATATATGAGTGACAAATGAAAAGATAATAACGTTAGTTGATAGGATTATAGTATTATACAAAAAATGGCAAGTCGTATAAAGTTAATGTAATATAATCACGGTCTCTTTAGATTAAACCAACTTTTTGTTTGAAAATACTAGATTATCTCTTTTTGGAGGGTATGTAGAACATACATAAGAGATAATATACTTTTAGTTGTTTTATAATTTGTTTTGTTTTTTCAACAAATTGGCTGATTCAATATAAGTCATTTTGCTTCAAATAAAATGAACAGATCCCACAAAAATGGGGTTGCTTTGAGTCATTTTTACTCACAAACAAAAATACGACCATTTTTCATTACTTTTAGTTAATATATACGTACTAAATTAGCTGGCAAAAATGTGTAAAGTAAGTTGTAATAAACGTTGGGAGTAAATATATGTTTAAAGTATAGTTTGTATATTCCAAATTTCCAATGGCTAAGTTCAGGCTAACTTCTTAGAGTAATGATCTGAGATATCTTTAGTTTCATATGAATTAAATATCGTCGTATTAATTTCCTCACCGTTGGTACAAAATGATTAAACTATTTCCATTAGGTTTTGTAGCTTAATGCTTTTGAGAATTCGTTAAAGTCGAACATTATTTCTAAAATGATTTCCATAGCTTTTTGCGAAAAAATTAAAAATGGTGTACCTTAAGAAAGTATTAATCTACAAAACTTCCTAAGCTCAGTTACTTGTTATTTAGGACTCTTTCTATCCCATTATATAAGATTTTCTACTTAAAAACGCAGAATTTTAAAAATTATTTAAGTTTTTGTTTTTGTTTTGTCCTTTTACATTAAAAACACTATTTAATATTTAATTTAAACCATATCAATCCATAAGAAAATACTGCAGAATATAAATAGTCATAATGCAGTAAACAACTTAATACAACTGGAACAAGATTAGTTTTTAAAATTACTCGAGTTTTGTGACTTGTGAGGTTAGATAAATATTTAGTTGATTCAAAGGCAAAACACAATCCCACATGTCTTTTCTCGTGTTCCACCACCAAATCAGCCGTAACTTGAACCTGGCCTCAGTTTCCACTTAATCATCAATATATAACTCAATCTCTCTGATTTTATCATTTTATCAATTATAAAGTTATATTTATTTGATTAATTTTACTTATTTACAGTTCATATACCAAAGCCTACATATTATATTAGCGTCTCAATTCTTGGAAATTGTTTTGTGTGTCCCCTTCTACATTATATTCCGACCCTTCTACATTATATTCCGACTTTCCTTAATTATGCCATGTTTCAAAACAGAACATTTTGATCTTCTCAATATTGTTATATATATTCGACTATCAGTTTGTACAGTACAAATATAAGCGTATGTATATGTACATGTCTTAAGCTCAATTATTTCTTATTACTATTAGTCTATTACACATAAATTGTGACGGGTACTCTCATTTTGAAAGGTAATAAAATTTCGAATAAAAAAAAAGAAACATTTGATTCTTTGAGATAAAAGACACAAGTCTTGAGCTTGTGATGTCTTCGTGGTTCTTATTCCATCCAATTATTTATAATTTCAAAATTAAGATCACAAAACTAAAAGCATGTGAATCATGCCGCACGTGAAATTCGCATGGCCAAGGAGTTACGGTTTGGCATAACCTAGACAAATTTGTTTATCTTGTCTCCTTACTAATACTCTAGTATAAAAAATTCATGATAACTTTATATACCATATTGATTATGGCTTCATTAAGAACGAAATTAAACACAATTAAGAATCATTAACCCGTATCTTGGTCTTGGATAATTCAAAAGATAGTACTGACCGTAATTAACAACTTGTCCTGTTCAAAGCATCAAGAACCATTTTCGACTTTGTAATTTTGGTTTACTAGTAATCATTTGCATTAAGGTTGATCTGTTTCTGACTAATGAAGCATCAAATATCTTGAAACTAGTAATCTAATTAACATCCTTTACATACACAAAATTAATGTGCTATATATAATGTCGACGTTGACCCCTAAATTTGTCCTCGCTGTTCTTTGTATTTTGAGCAATTATTTAATTAAAGTCTCATCCAAATAATTGTTGTGCTGTATTTTATATGAAACCATATTTCAGATTTAAATATTTATTACGGCGAAGATAATTATTAATTAATCCAATTTTTTTGACTTTCGAGCTAGTGATGGAGAAAAGTAGGTCTAGAGAAAAGAAAGAAAAATGAGATCACTTATTGGGCCTTTACAGGATTAAGTTGTTATACGTTGGGCTTACATTAACTTTAATAATGGACCCATTGGGGTTTTATTGGGCTTGAATATATGTTCATTAAATAAACGATTACTGTTTTTGTATCCAAATTCGGAAACTTCGCAACTAAAAAGTCAACCTTGTTAAAGATCCTAGATTCGATTCTTCCGGTGTTTTCTCCGACCCATTCAGGTGTAAAGAGGTTTCATTACAGCGACAACAACAATGGCACTTGTCCGATCATCAAAGCTTAATCTCCCAAACCCA